TCAAATCCTGGTGTGGCGTTGAGCTTACTTGGAGTATGGACGTATATTGAGGGAGACGGCGCATCCGGGTTTGGGCATTACAAAGAAAGGATATTGAATATTCACAGACGTTGTATTGAGGGCCGCTGCTAATCAAAACATGTTCACCTTGTCCTCGCCACCCTCACTACAAGTGAGAAACTCCGTTCTCCCCCACCCACCTTATGAAAATCGCGAAAAAATCACACACAAACAAGTCAGTAAGCCATACTATCCGTCGCCTAGTCCTCCTCCATGAGATCCTTAAGGACGGCGTAGAGCTCGTTGACCGTGTTTTCATTGTTCAGCTATGGCGATTATTAGCATTTTGAAATCAAAACAAAGAGAAGTAAAACAAAAGCCAGAGGGGGGGTACTCACTTGAAGGAGCACGTTGGCTACCTTCCCGTCTTCCTTGCTAGCCAGGAAGATCCGGCGGCCGGCAGGGGCCTCACCCTGCTGGTCACCAAAATGCATGCCCTTGAAGATGGCACTGTTAAGCATGACACGCAGGGCGCCGTCTGCGCGCATGATCATGCGGCCGGTCCGCTTTCCATCGGGGCCGAACTTGACATTGACCTTGAAGGTCCCGATGCCACGCTCCTTCCATTGCTTGTTGTCGAAGCAGTACAGCTTTCCCTTGTTGGCGAAGATGGTCTCCTCGTCTTCCTCGCCGGTTTCAACTGCGGATTTAGCGTTAGTGGTCACTCGATTCCAGATGAGACGTCGAGGGCGGAATACATACCAGGCTGTTCAACGAACCGCTCGTCGGTCTTCTCTGCCACGAAGGTGTCGTTGCCATTGCCTTCATCCTCTTGCTCATTATCGCTATCCTCATTGTCAGACTGCGCAGCACCGAGGGCTTGTGACTTGGCACCGAGTGGCTGTGCCTTAGCCTTAGAGTCGCCGAAAGAAGAAGTGACGTTGGGAGATGCGAAACTGGTCAGTCCACCGGGTTTCGCAGTAGCCTGAAAGGCGCTGCTGAATGCAGAGAATCCAGTCGAGTTGGCGGGTTTTCCAAACACAGAAGTTGAAGTACCAGCAGCGAGGTTGCCAAACGGAGAGTCTTCAGAACCGGCAAAAGCAGACAAGGAGGATGATGCAAACGCAGACGTGGAAGCTGTTTTGTTGGTGTTAGAGGGACTGTTGGCAGGAGCCGGTTCCTTTGCACTAGCCGACAAAGTTGTGAAGGGTGAAGTAGCAGAGGCTGATGCCATCGAGGACCCGAATGCGGAGGTGGATGTTGTCGAGGATTTAAACGCAGAGGTGAAAGGTGAGTCAGTAGAGGTATTTCCGAATGCACTCGAAGAGAAAGTCTATCAGAAAGGACTGTGTTAGTGAAGCTCATTTCCGAGCAATTAAGACAGCGAACTCACCTGGTTTATCTTGGTCTTGCGTTCGTTCAAATCGTTTATCTTCTCGGGTTCTCCTTTGGCAGTGAGATTCCCATCCGGAGGGACTGTCTTGGTCTCAGTGGGTTCCGTGGTAGCCGGGGGATGTTCGGTTGCCTGGGTGAAGATTGTGTTACTAATGGGTTCAAAACCGAAAGGGCCAGCATAAATGGTGCGCTCCGGGGTTCTGGTTAGATGGGGACTGGGCAAGTTATCTCCATGCGAGGATTCTTCGTCTGAGGAAATAGAGATGTAGGGTGAGATATCGTTCCCCGGTGTATCCTCGTCAGAGGATATTGAGATGTGGGATGGAGGGGCCGGGTATTGTGCAGCGTGGTCATGATATCTCTGGCGGTGACCATAGGTGGCGTGGACGCGCGAGTCAGGGGTCGAAACAAGGCACCCACGAAGGATGGAGGGACAAGTTGATGCCGTGGAGCCATTTGATTGTTCAGGCACCTGAGGAGGATCAGGTTTTTGGAACGACAAATTTATGTCAAATGGGACTCTGACTGGGATATGCGCGTGGCCTTCGATTGATATCTCGACAGTCAACTCGCAGTGCACCGTCTTGTGGTAGCCTTCCGCGCCAGAGCAAAGATCCCAGCGGTCACTGCGCGCCTCGGGGTTCTTGGGTGTTCCGGGGGCGGCGTTGAGGCTAATGGCGATCGATGGTTGACGTTCCTCAACCCAGATTTTGGTACTTTCGTCCTTGTCGGGACCATCCACTTGCCCTTGTTCGATGTTGTGATTGTGGAGGTTGATCATGCTGACGACAGCTTGCAGATGGCAGCGAGAGCTGTCGGGCGTGTTGGTGTCTCCGTCAGAATGCGAGCGAATACGCTCTCCACGGTCGTCATTTCCACTCTCAGACTTGACATCCACATACCCATGAGGAATCGCATCGCTCTCGGTCGTCTCCAGGGGGTTCTCCACGGGAAGAGGGGGGTGTACGGGGTGCAGGGGTTGCAGGGGACTTATGGATTCTTCGTAGTCGGGAAGAGATGACAAACTCACATTTGACGAAAGAGTACCGGCGGGTGCGGTCTCGGTCTCGGGCTGTTCAGCTCCGGAAGGCTTGTATGAGGTATGATCTTGGGCTCCCAACGATTTCTCGGGGGTGCACTCGCGCGATCGTTTCTTGGGGGGAGCGTCGGCTTCGGAGGTTGCGTCATTGTCGGACTCGTTGAGGGAGCGCTTTTTGCTGCCGTTCTTCTGAAGTGAGGGGTCTTGGGATCGTGAAGAGGTCTCGGGGGTGGACTCTCGGGATCGTTTCTTGGGGGGAGCATCGGCCTCGGAAGTTGCGTCATTGTCGGGCTCGTCGTGCGAGCGCTTCTTGTTGACATTCTTCTGGACTGAGGCGTCGAGGTTGGTCTCTTTTAGTTGCTGTCGAACGGGGCGTTCGCCTCCGTCATTGTCGGAGCAGGGTGACTGCGCAATGCCGTCGGTCACTTGAGGAAAGGCGGACGTTAGATCACATGGTCAGGTTTTATAGACGGATGTCAAGAGGCAGAGGAGCAGAGAAAAAGAGGAAGACGATATCAGGATCGCGGGGAAGAGAGGGACACTGCGGAAGCGAAGACAGCTATCTGGTAACTCACCACCGGGCTCCATATTCACTGGCTCTGTTCCCAGAGCTTGGAGACTGTCAGCGAGAATGTTCAACTATGAAGGGAGGTTAAGGGCATGTGCCCAAGCTGTCACTGACCGCCCGCCGAGGGGTCCTGCTCAAGCGAAGCAGGAGTCATGGCGCACCGTCCTTGGCTGAGGACAAACTTGTCGTTGAGCTATTGCAGATAGGTGGTTGCACAAGGCAGCCGAAGCTTGGTGGTTAACAAAAACCGATACTGGGTAACGGATTTGGGCCTGCTGGATCAAAGCAGAAAGAAAAATGGGATTGTAAGAGAGATGATGAGAAGAGAAAGATGGAGGGAAGAAAGCAAGCTGCCGGGTATTGAGTTGACCGCCGGGTGCGGGGCCAAACATTGAATACAGTGAGAATAGAGGAATTTTACATTTGTATTGTAGACGGATGTCGATCCGTAGACAATAGCAATTCATTGGACTAAATGCCATTCAAGGATATACCGGTATCCCGCGCTATTCTAATACAATGTCTCGCTATTGAGGCGATTCGATGCGCCGAGGCTCTCCATGCATAGCATGACGCATTGCCTCAACCCTGCCGAGCACAATATCACGGCAATAGAACCTTAACTGATGAAGCAGAGGCACCCGATTGCAACGTAGAAGACAAATAGTGGGTACACCGCGATGCCGACACGGTTCCGAACCACCCCCGAGCCTCCTAAGATGCTCACTCCAGCTGCCAATGACCATGCCACCAACACTAGATAGACCGGTATCCGCGCAATGGTAGGAAGCCCGAGTGCACTGAGCATTGCCGCAATGACCAAGGGGAAGAGCGTATAACCGATAATACAAATGGACTGGAAAAAGGAACTAGAAAGCAAGTCGCAATGTCAGTATATCGCACTCGAATGAGGAGGTCATATCCCACGTACATTTTGCCTCCAAGCAGCTTGATCTGAAGGGTCACAGCCGCCTCTCCGATCCAGACAATGCAGAATACACCCGAGAATACCAATGAGGATTGATCGCCCTTTGCGACAGACAAGAATAGACTCAATACCAAGCAGAAGATGAGCGGTCCCCTATAATGTCGAAGCAGTTGTTAGCTTGTCTTCATGCAGCTGCAGGGCCCCAGTGTGAAACGTACCAGAGATCCCAATCGCGCAGCCCTTCGCTCATGCCACCCTGCAGGACCACGTCGGCATCCGGCCAGCGTCCAACGAGTCCTCGAATGTTACGACCGAATCCTGATGCCTCGCCTCTCTCGGCATCACTCATACCACCACCTCCGCGCTGCATCATTCCTCCGAGGAGGTACTTCGGCCAAAGCACCTGGCGCATCTTCTCCCATACGGCGACCAAGTCGCGCGACAATGTCTCCCACACGCTCTCGTCAATGGTGTTCTGTGTCGCGCGACGATCTTCACCACCGATTGAGGAGGTCAGGTAGTTTCCGTATCCAGACGCATTGCCTCTGTTGCCCGAGTCGGATTGGATGTTGCCTCGCAGAGGGGCCGTGTCGGAGGTATCGCGCAGGGGGTCGTCGGCTTCGATGGCTGCAATCACGCTGAGTTAGAACTTGGTTCAAGTGCAGAGCGCAGTGTCAAAGCAAGATTTGCACTCACCGTCATCGGCTTCGATCAGGTCGTCGTCCAGGAGGGAATCATCATCATGGGGGTCACCATGGGGGTGACCGTGATGTACAGTAGCCATAGTTTGTATTGGAGATGTGAAAGAGCGCAATAATATCTGGTATCACCTATCACCTGTCACTTCAGGCAAAGCGGAAGATCGAAGGTATCGGGGAGTATGAAAGCGTGTTGGTCGAGCTGTCCCGGAAAGGCTAGAGTGGCATTACGTACCGCCCGGCACGGGATCCGTGATGTTTACTCCCGTTTCACTTCTACGACAATAGAAACATCTCATGCATGCACACTTTGGCATTCTTTGAAAGAATTTCATTGCATACAGAGGTTTTAACTCACTTAACGTGTGACATCTACTTATTTTCCTCGGAACCTTCGACATACGGCTCGTCTTCCTGGTAGACATCATACTTATACTTGCTTCCAATATGATCAGCCCGAAGTTCTTTCTGACCCTTACCAAACACCTTCTCACGGGCTGTGAGTGATGGCTCCGATGGATCTGGAAGCTCAGGATACAGTCCACGCCGCCTCAACTCCGGAATGAGCAAGTCAACCACCTCCTCAAAAGTGCCCGGCGTAGTGACGTAGGCGACGTTGAACCCGTCAAGGTCAGACTCTCGAATCCAGCGTTCCATCTCATCAGCAACAGTAGCTGGACTTCCAATAGCCACCGGACCAAGACCACCAATTGCAGCCTTCTCGGCGACTACACGAGGAGTCCAGCGCGGGATATCTTTGCTAGTCTTGAGCAACGAGTCAAGCAGACTGGTCACTCTACCAGCTTCCAAGGAGTCTGCAGCCGTGAGGTCCTGGTCAAGTGGGATCTTGGAGATATCAATGCCCGTCCATCCACTGAAAAGAACCAGGCCGCCAACCACCGAGGCGTATTTCTTCAGCTCCTCGTATTTGGCCCACGCTTCTTCGTCAGTCTCACCCAAAATTGGCGTGAAGGTCCCAAAGAACTTAATGGACTGCGGGTCCCGACCTCGTTCCGCGGCTAACTTGCGGATGTTTGCGATCTTTGGTCGCAGCACCTCTGGCGAATGGGCAGAGACAAAGATGGCCTCCGCGTGGGTAGAAGCAAAGTCTGATCCTGCAGGGGAAGTTCCTGCCTGGAAGAGGAACGGCGTCCTCTGAGGAGACGGATCGACGATGTGCCGTGTACTTAAGGAGAAGTATTTTCCCTTATGGTTGATCTGACGGACCTTGTCGGGGTCAATGTATGAGTCTGCCTCGGGGTTTGGTGACAGGGCATCAGGAGCCCAGGAACTTTCCCAAAGTCTAAGTAACCTGAGTCAGCTCTTGCCACTTTCAAGTTTAAGATGCAGTAAGTTACTCACTTATAGAGCACCCTCAAATATTCGTCTGCTTGGCGGTATCGTTCATCATGCTCAATGGGGCTATCCAATCCAATAGCTTTGAAAGCCGCCTTCTTGTATGAAGTCACGATATTCCAACCCAGTCGACCATTGGTCAAATGATCCAATGTGGAGAAGCGCTTGGCTAGCAGGAAAGGCTGCTCGAACGAAGTTGAGGCCGTGATGCCAAACGCGAGGTTCTTGGTCACTGCAGCCATCGCAGAGATGGGCTTCGCAAACAAGTCAGATATTGAGTAATCCGGTTGTGTTGTTTACACTCACGATAGTTGGATCTGTGACCGGCCACTGCGCAGCTCGTCGAATACACTCGTCCAGTTTACCCTCGTAGGTATCATGGCCTCCAGTCGTATCCGCCAGGAACAATGCGTTGATTCCTCCGCGCTCCAGCAGCTTCGCAAGCTCTACCCAGTACTCGAGGGTTCGCTTGGTTGCAGACTTGTCTTTGGGGTTCTATAGACTGTCAGCTTGATTGCAACGTCCGGCTATTTGCTACACTAACCCTCCACTGTCCAGGAGACAGATGTCCAACGGTCGACATGTCGAACGCATTGAGCAAGATATGTTTCTTGCCCGAGCCATTTTGGCTTGTAGATGCACCGGAGTCTCCCATAGCTGGTGATATATAGCAACAATGCTCTTTACAAAGAAGATTGTATTGCTCAGAAATTCCCGTCGCAGTATATAAAAATCAAAACGAGCCCCCTCGAAGACTCCAGCTCGGAAAAACGGCGTTGTCGTACCCCCGCACCATCCCACCTAGTATTTGCCCATCGGATATTTATCTCACGCCATCGACAAACAGAGGGGAACGGCAAAATTCCGAGTCGCGAAAGCTCGGTTCCTGCATAGGTGATTTATATATGGCGTGCCGTAAATGAAACATTCGCCATCTTCTCCACATGAGCCACATTGCATATTTTAGTTTGTAAAAGCTAGTACCAGCATAAGTCCTAACTGGCATCGGATAGATATAGGCGTTATAGAGTATTAGGTGACGCATTTCATCATCGGCCGCCAGATTGCGTGACGTGACACTACCGTCGGGATTTTTTTGGATAATACAAGGCATATCGATGTTGTAGCCAGTTAAATTTTGGTTTGTTATCTCCTACAAATGAGTTGTTCTGGTAGTTTAATACCTTTAGATATAAGTATAGTCTATCACCTAGCGCCTTGTTCATATAATGAGATGTCCACCGCGCAAATTCATATAACAACCTAGCAGTATCTACCCATATACCATATTCTCAATAATAACATACTATTGATACACGAAAGAATATATATCTTGAAAAGAGCCGAATAGCAATAAGCCCGCCCTATGAATTATCCAGAAATAACCAGCGCAGTACTGCAGACTTAAGCAGCTCTCAGTTCCAAGTTTATTGCGAAGAGTTCATATGCAATCGTTATTCTGCCCTTCTTTATCCATATTAAATCCCCAATATGCTTATTCAGTTAGTTCAAAGCATAGTAAAATGGCTTTATGGACACTCTGAGCTTCAAGTTCTCTTGGTCGGGGAAAACAGCTCTGGCTAAACCACCTTTCTTTCCCAACTTATACACGGCCAGGCAGTGCATGCAATCCCCACAATAGGCCACTATCTCGAGCCCATTAGACGTAACAAGCGCACATTTTCCATCTGGGATACTGGAAGAAGGCCTACTATGCAAACTCCTTTTCAGATACACAAGGAATGCTTGAGCTAAACGTTTTCAGTGGGATGTTTTCGGTACTCGAATTGGTTGCAATACTTCTATACGAATGGGAAATGATACAGCTCATGAAATTTTTGTCTCGCATTGGCACAGAAACGCTAGATGTTGGTTATAGTAGTATCTAGGTTCTACTAATCAAACAAGACTCTCAGCCTGCGCCAGACATTCAACACTTGCGGAGGGTGTATAATCAGAAATTAACCGACATTTTTAATGATCAGGTCAACTGCAAATCGATTATCATCTGAGTACCAAAACCGGTGAAGGTGTCACGGAGGTTATGGGTAACACATGACATTCTGGGTCCAGGTGTTCCTGGCGGCTATAGCTCGTGCAGAGCATAAGCAAGTGGTTAACAAGTACAAATCGCCAGGAACTATAAGCTTCGAAGAACTTATCGAGGGAATCTCCAACTCGTTTACGAGGGTCTGCCAAGTCTATATTACACTCTGGAAATTTGGTAGCATTCGAGGTTATGATTGCTCCTGATAGGAGAAAGATGCTTGGGTCTCTGAGCCCAGAAAATAATGATCTGGATGATTGGTGTGTATCTAGTATTTGTGCGCTACAACGATTATGTACAACAAGTTGGTTTATGCCATAACGTTACTGCCGTTTCTATCCTGCCCGTCTGTATCACGACCTCTTCGTTTCCTAGAAATAACATATCCGCCTTACAATATAGACAACTAAATTTACCTGTAGTCGCTTATCCGGATTGATCAACCTTCCCATGTATAATATCATGTTGAACTCCAGACTCGAGGCTACCCGAAACACCCGCACTGCCAGAATCAGAAAAACTCTCTCGACTCGACTTATTTCTCCTAGAAAAATACAAAGTTAGATAATTTCCAAGCAAAGATTAAATCAACAACTTACTCTTCCCGTGATATGAAATACTGAATCCCATGCGCGAGCCCGATCAAGCAAATCGCATTAGCAAGGACAAACGAGTAACCCTTCGTGAACCGAGGACCCTCAACAGTCTTGAACACAAGTAGCGGCGTCCAAGCCGTAGTAGACTGGGCAACCGTATTGACAACGATAAGTGTCAATGCACGCTCAGTAGGCGAATATCGCAGCTGGCTGTTAATCCACCCATAGAGAACACTAGACATGGCAACAGCCGAATAAGTTGTCAAGAAAGCAAACCAAAGGGCCGATTCTGGGACATCCCATATGACAAGAATCACAAGACCGAGGATATTCCAGAGATGGGACACGGTAATTGCCCAAGCAGGGCCGAGGAATAGATCCGAAGAGAAACACACGAAGAGTGTATAGAATATACCTAGCGCAGGAGATATAGCAGCCAGCTCATTCAGGCGACTTGTAGAGTACCGGCCAAGGCTCTTCAGCCACAGTTGATATCCACCGGCACTGGTGTTGACACATGCATTCCAGAAGAAGATATCCAGGCATAGCATAGCCCAGAATTTCCAGTTGCGGCCGACCCTGAGCACTGTGCCCCAAGAAAGAGGCACTTCCTCTGTTTTATGCTTGGCGCGCTCCAGACGAGATTTGGCGATTTGGACGTCTTTATCTTTCAGCACGAATTTATTGGGTTTATCCGGCGAGCCTGGCAAGATGAAGTATCCGAGGATCGCAACTGGGAGGGTAATGATGGCGCAGATGATGTACATCCATCTCCATCCTGCGAGACCATTCACGCCGTCTAGTCGGCTTGATGCACCAGCTTGGATGAGACTGGCAGTCAATGTGCCGAATGTAAGACCAACGTAGAAACAGCCTCCTCGTCGGGCGATTTCGTCGCCTCGATACCATGAGCCTAGAATATGTTAATATAAGGCTTCATTTTGGAGGGGGGAATACTATGCTCACCGAAGATATAATGCATCCCTGGAAAGAAACCCGCCTGGTGGAAGTTAGTAAACATCCTACCTCACACTTAAACGAGAAAGATCAAACTTACCTCAAACCATCCCACAAGGAACCGATACGCAGCCAATTCAGCATAAGAGTTGGCACGATACTGCACCAAGGTGAAAATCCCCCAAGCAACATCCATAAACGGAATGACCCAGGACATGGGAAGCCTGGTGAACAAGTACGCGAAGGGAAGCTGGCCGACCACAGCACCAATGGTATACATGGTCTGTAGCTGGACGAGCTCATTGCCATGAAGACCCAGATCATCCTTGAGACCAGAAACATATGCATTATCTGCTGCTCGTTAGAACCGACATATGATCACAACAGGAAGTGCTTCTTACTGATATTGGCCTGATCAATATATTTAGTCCAATATGCAAGAAAGGCATATGGAACAATCAACAGATCCAACTTGAGGATAAGCTTTCTCTCCTCTTTTGTATCTTGGTCTGTGAACCATTGGAGGTGGTACCATTTCCGCCGTTGTTGAGGGGCGGTCATCTTTTCGCGTAGGAGTCACCTAATATGGAGGAATTGGAAGAGTTGGAGGAAAAAATAGTTTTTCCAGCTGGTTTTATCTATGGCTTCGGTCATCAGCCGAGAAAGGCGTTGTTTGAGGTACTTCAGCCAAGATGCAAGATGTCACTAGAGTCGGCAATTGCGTGCTGTAGCGTATCTTCAACAACGATTGCGACAGAATAGCCGCAGATTAGATAGCGCCGATCAAGTCGATGAATGGGATTGCAGATAGCTTGTCGCGAATAAACGCTGAGTATTTAGATAGAGTTGGCATGTGGCATGTCAATAATCGTGCGGTGGTCCTAGAGTGCGTGGGTGCCGGGGCCCCGATGTAAACTGACAGAATTGGAAAAAGCTCAAGCGTTGAAATAAATCTCCGTAATATTCCTTATATGAAGTAGAGAATGTACCAATGGTATTATGTACAAATGCATATGCAACGCCGTCTATATCCCCAAAAGTATGATGTACAAGCATTATACAAACGGACCTTCACTCGGTCCGTGAAAAGCAAAGATAAAAAGGCCCAATGCAGGCCTTAGTCCTTCTTAGGGAAAGATTCATCCCATTCCGGGACCTTCTCCTCCACCTGCTGAGAAGAACCATCTTCGATATTCTTCTTCCAGAAAGTCTTCTGGGCTTCCAATTGGAATTTCTTGATACGCTCACCACCGAACCTCTTCTGCTCGGGTGTTGGGTAGATAGTCTTGCCCCTGAAGTTCTGAATAACATCTTTGTCAGAGTACTTCTTCAGCATGTTCGATTCTTCCATCAGGATCTTGCGCTCGGCCTTTGAAACGAACGACTTATAGTCGACCTTCAGAGTATCGTCGACTACCAGACGGATGCGCGACAAGACCTTGACGGCCGAGGCACCGGCGACGGAGTCTGATTTTTGGTTTTGGAGGGCGCTCCAGCGAGTTTTGTGCGAGGGGGCTCCAAACTCCATTGCCTCATGGAGCTGGGCGGTATAGGGTCGCAGGGTGGCGAGGGCTGCCAAGCGCAGCTTCGCTTGGATCTTGCGGCCTATATCTTGCAGTCTGCTCCTGGTGGAGGTTTCTTCCATGTCAAGGCCTCGCAGGTGCAGGAGGACGGAGGGTTGGCTGGAAAGGATCTGGATCAGTTCTAAGTAACCCTCAAGGACTCGGATATCCGGGAGGATCAACGCTTTGCCCATCAAGGACATCAGCTCGTTTGCGTGCTGAAGAACCGAGTGGTTGCGACGGTCACGGCGACAGATACTGAGGGCGACGTGGAATGCTTTTCCGTTTGCTACACCGGAAGGAATCATCTGGTCCCGTAAAGCTGCGACGCCGACTTTGCTAGAGCGGGAAATGCGGAGGAGGCGGAAATATTGAAGGTAGGTGACGCTATCGGGTTCGATGAGATGGTTGGTGTCTTCCAATGTCAGAAGTTTCCAGTAGTTGATACCAGCCTCCGTGCCGTGAGTTATGGTGAAGCAGGCATTCAGAAGAAGAGTGAGTTCTTTGCTGTCTGGCTTGAGGAAAGAAATCTCCGGTGAGTCTGGGACGACAGGCTTGAAGAGGTCTTCAAATGATTCTTCCTCTTCTGGTTCTTCTTCCTCTAATTCTTCTGGTTGTTCTTCGGCAAGAGGCTGGGACTCCTCGTCCGGCTCTGCTTCTCTCAGGATTTGATTATTCTCATCCACAAAGGGAACATCTTCCATACTCTCTTGCCGTTCTGAATGGGACTGTTCGAGTGCTTGGGTTTCTTCATGAGTGATCCTGCGACGGGATGAACTCTCAGACTCGACAGGCCGTTTTTGCAGTATGGGAATACCCATAGTTTGCTTATACAGCTCCATGACATTGTAACAGTCAATGTCACTAGCACCGTCCAGGAGCAAGCTAGCCATGGCATTCACAACAGAGTTGTCAAGTTCCAGGGCTTGGTTCTTCCACCGATAAACGATATCGGCCCAAATCCGCTTTCCTTCGGTCATAGCCTGAGCCTTCCGCTCAAGAATCTTATCAATCTCTTCAGGGGACATTTTCTGAATATCCCTACGAGCTGCGAATTGAACGGCGCCCAGGATAATCGTATAGGTGGCTGCGTCCGGAGCACCTGGTCCCTCCTCTGGTAGGTCTCCGGCAATCTTCCACAAACGATCCATATCATTATGCCGTTGGCAAACCGTAAGCATGGCGTTGGTGTGGATAATGCTCAGGCTGACGCCGGAGTTCGGGGAGGAGATCGAGCGGTAGACAGAGGCGGCAGTCTTGACGATATTCGGTGATTCTGAGGCTGAGCTGAAACCCTTCAACATAATTGTGTACGTCGATGGATTCGGTTTTCTGCCACGTTTCTTCATCTGAAGTAGTATACCCGTTAGCATGCAGTTCAAGTAATCCAAGCACTAGCAACTCCCCAGTTCCCAGCACCAAGCAGAATGACAAAACACTCACATCATTATAAAATTTGAATGCAGCTTGCGGGTGATTCTGATCCATACAATATTGGAACAGGGTATTCCAAGCAACATCACATCTCATACCCTGCTTCGTTCCAGTACGGATCAGCGCCGCCGCCAGGGCCGGATCACCGGCGTGCAAAATGCGCGACACCCGTTCTGCAAAGTCACGAGGATCGGACAACCATTTCAGCTCCTCAGTGATGACCTTGTTGGGAACTTTGAGTGATTTTATCATCGAAGGACTGGGTTCTTCGGGAGCATCACGATTGGCAGTCTCAGTCTGAGAAGCTTGATCTTGCGAGGCATCATTTTCAGACGCCTCGGTGCCAGATGTCTCTGTTTGAGTAGACCACTTCTCTGCAGCCTCCTTATCCAGAGCCTCGCTTTCAGCGATATCGCTATCAACATCATACCGGCCGCCGAGCGATTCCTTGCCAGATGCAATAGCCATCAACAAGTCCCGATCTTTCTTTGAAGATAGACCATCCTTGAATGTCTTTCGATTCCCCCTTCCTCTGTTCGTCGGCTTTTGTCCATCCTTCTCGAAACGGCCTGGGGCGGGGCGCGAATTCTTGCGGTAGGAGTCGTTTCGACCGGAGGAGCGTTCGGAGGCGTAGGAGTAGAACCGGGGGCTAGATGAGAGCCATGTCTGTGTCTGCGGGAACCGCAATGCAGCTGCAATGGATGCGCGGTGTTGCTGCGCGGTGAGAAGTTTGCTGCGCAAAGCTCTGTTCACGAGCGACCCCGGAAACCGGAAAGTCATGGCCGGGTTTCAGTGGTTCCAGGCCAGTGTCGAGCTTGTATGCCGTGTGAAATTCTGAGACAAAACAAAGAACGAACAATGGCAGGTCAAAGAAATGAAAGAAACAAACAAAAAGAGACAAAAAGGATATTATGTCCACATTGCGTGTTCGAGATACAATCTCGAAACAATTTCGCAGATTGTAAGTACGCGCTAGTCCATATCGGGTTAGACATTTACGCCTGGATATTCAGGCTGCCAATAAAAAAATTATTCTGCCTGAGGCGTAAATATAACCAAGACCGGTGTTGTTGACACCTCAGGCGTGAGATCCAACTAGACTGCAACTAGTTTAGTTCCCTTCCAAACCCTTGTTCCCGGCGGGCCTGGACGGGAGCGCTAGAGCACATTCCCAGAGTCTCATTCCCTGCGTTAAGTACTTTACTAGTTCCCGAATCTAGATCTGCATTCTCCGTACAGAACCGTGGACGGGCCGTCTCTAAACGAACTATAGAAACAAGCCTTTGTACAACTTGGCTTCATTATCTTGTCCTACATAATAATAATTGGACAAATGATTTCTCTTATAGTCTAAGCCACAGGTTTCAGAAGATCCATACTTTCAGTCCGAATCATTAATTAGGGACAGTTGCGTCCCGCAAATCCTACACTGTCACTCCCTGGAAAACATGTCCCGACGAGCAAAGACTCGTATAGATAGATCCATCAATCCTTGTCTTGCATCAAAAGCATACGCTGACCTACATGTAAAATACACTCGTTAACCAACATAAGCACTAGCCCAAACCAAAGAACTCAAATCAACCAGAAAAAGAACACATTACATGCGCGATGCTCAGCAATATGACAAGTCCAATAACATAAAAGTACCATAAACACGAGCCTAACCAAAACCAGCCTGCCCATCCTAGCGTTAGCGGCCAGCCTAAGCAGCTACTAGGCCAGAAAGGAAAAAAAAAGGTCAAAACCAACTCTAAACCCCAGACCAAAAATTACCGCCACGATGATATCGGTGGCTGATACTAACGTACCCTAACTTACTTCAGCCACGTGGAGATGGGATGTGAGATGCTAGCCTAGTTACCGAGCCGAGACCTTAGTTCCTGGTTCTGAAACTAGTCACTAGTCACCGCTTGTTAAGTTACTTACTGTACCTTACTACGTTCGTATACTATACTAGCTCGCGCCTCCCGCTTTGTACATAGGTACAGGTATAGGTACAGGTACAGGTACATCATGCATGACATACAGTAGCCTAGCTTTTGCTTTTTGCCCTGTTGCTCTTTTTGTTCTAGTTCAGGTACCGGTATGCTATGTGTTCGGGTGCATGTACGCATTGACCTGGTGCAGTAACTTAGTGGTGCGTGGTACATTTACACCTATCTAACTTGAACAGTTACCTTCCCTAACTTACGCTATTTCAAGGGTGATGCTGTAACGTATTGGTACTTGATCTGTGATTTCTGTGCATCTGTGTGCGTGTGCGTGGCTCAATCCTAATTTAGGCTAGGCGTGGCTTGTCCCGGCTTTAGTGTTAAGAAACCGAGTTTCAGTGTAAACCCCCATGTCTCTTTGATCATCCTCTTGTATTTTCTATCGATTCTGGCCTGGAATTAGGGTTCCTTATTCCAAAATAAGGCGCCTTTGCTGCCTAGGTGGGTTTGGTATGTACAAAGCAGCACATGAGCAATGACAGCCAACATTTGAGCACGTTACAGAAACCAAAGGCCAATCAAAGAAATGGAAAAGAAAGACCAGAGAAAATGGAGTCCGGTTTAAATGGTACACACAAAATAAAACCAGAGACGAAAAATAGTCCGTATAGCATAATGTACGTTAAGCGGAGGAGAAAGGAAAGGAGGAGAAGGAAAACACACACACACAGAGAAAGAGGAGAGATGAGAAGATAACCTGCACATGGCATAGTTAAGCCATAAGATAGGAAAAAACAATAGGAAAACAAAGACAACATAAACTAAAACAAAGAACCCCCATGAAAACCATTTTGGGAGAATGCTAATCAGTAAAATGACAGATGCAAAAAAATCCGCCGCGCACCATCCTTGAAGCCACGACCCTGGCCAGCGAGCAAGAGATATGAGAGAGTATGAGTGTAGAAGACACAAACGCACATCCCTTCGACATTCATCATCGATTCTGAGAACAAGACAGGAAACTGAGGGAAGAGGAAGAAGGGAGCACATCCTCTCAGCTCGAAGCACACTCTAAAATAGCAAGGAGAATCACAGGTATAGAACAAAGCCGGAAAAGCCACTCTTTGATGAGGATCATAAGCCTCAAGAGGTTGGTATCATTGCAATAAATCGGGAGCGGGGGTTGGAGGGGAGATGAGAAGAGGGGG